CTGTGCAGGGGGGGGGGGGATGAAAGTTACTTCGCATGGAAAGTTTAACGTTTCTGAACAGGGAAAGGTGTAGAATAGTACTTGATATCATACGTATATAGCAGAAATGAAACGTATATTTTAGAACTGTGATTGTTAATAACTTTTTAACGAAGGACGAGCGACGTCTAAAACCTGTAGGAGATTACTCAAGGTCATGACATTGACAACATATGTCAAGGTCAAAATCATCGGAGGGTGGTCCCCTTTTGTAAAGGTTTACCACAAAGTTATAGACAGTAAATTCATAACATGATAATACCTTTAATTGGATGATCGTTTGCGAAATATTCTTATGATTCTAGTAGGAACACAAAATTACGTTCATTCCAAAATCCGACATGGACTTTTCGATTTTCTGCACTCGAGGGTGAGTTTTTATCAGAGAAACTATTGCTTGTCTTAATATAGAAACGTAATTTTGTGTTCTTACTAGAACCATAAGGATATTTCGCAAACGATCATCCAATCCCTTGACGAGCTCTTTTATTCCCTCTGAGAAAATACTCAACTTTCTTTAAACATGACCGTCTACAACTCCATTATCGTTTTAATATTGTTAATTTTACTGTGTTAATTAATATTTTGTACATCTGAGGAGGGCCCAAATATGTGCCGAAACGTAATGTTTTCTATTTTTATTTTTTTTTAATTTAGAATTTAATGTATCCATGCGCGCGTTTTAGAAATTAGTAGATAATATTTTATATATTTTTTTTTATTCTGTAATTAAAGGTATTATCATGTTATGAATTTGCTGTCTATAATTTTGTATTTGACTCTTATATGCCTTTGTTTATCTTTGTTTTTTAAATATTAAGAGTCCTGTATATTCTCTTCATTTTTAATCTATACATCTTTATGTATATACCCAGGTAGCAAACATACGTCATATTGACATCAAATTCATGTTGGTACAAATGATGTCAAGTGAAAATTGACCAACCGATGTTATGACGACATTATGACGACATCATATAATTTGCGACATTAGAACGTCATTGAAACATCATTAAGACGGCAGCCGTAGCCAGTAATTGATCAAAATTTGCTAAATGATGTGTGTCTGCTATGTAGGTATTACATTATTATGATAATAATACTATGTGCATTGAGAGGAAGAGAGAGAACAAAAATCGTTCATTTGACTAAATTAATTTAGTTCGTCTTTATTTCTTTCGTTTGAAAAAATGTATATGTATAATATTTCAATCAAATATAATAATATGTTTACATATACTTTTTAACAAAAGAAAGGCAAACTTTCTAAATTAATTTGATTTAAGGGGTTAGTCCATCTTGGAGACCTTAAAATCATACCTTACTTTAGGAGGTAATAATTAAAAAACGAACTACAAATACTTCATAAAATAAAATTAACGATAATTTTATTCTATCAACGATAGTTCCATATTATATAAATTATGGGTAAGTAATCTTGTCTGAAACATATAATGAATTCAGATAACAAAAACTCCTATATAAATAAAATATAAACTCGGAGAGAATTGCACTTATAGGAGTCAGGCGCAAATAACTTTACGCAATTGCTAATGTATAACAAATATTCTTTATTACACTGAAAACTAAAAGTTCTGAAATCTAGTAAATGTAATTACTTGTTTTTTATTTTTTTAAATCAAGAAATTATTTTATCAATATGAGAACAATTGACTTGCCTTTAGTAAATATTAACTTAAATATAGTGTAGTAGTCTTAAGTGCGCGAAAGAAGGAAAGTTATTTTAAGTAAGCTGATTTTAAGTAAGAGCGCCACGACGAGCAATCCCGAGCGCGGGATAAGAACATGTAACCGCGAAGCATCCAATGAGATGCCGGGAAGAAAGAAGAAGTTAGAATTGTAATATGGCGTAAAGACGAAGTGTCGCGTGTGTTGTGTAACGGAATAAAAATACGAAAATCCTGAAACATAGTGTGCCTTCCTTTCCTTCCTCGATTCTCTACAATTAAGTTCAGAAGTGGGATTCGACTCGCGATCGGACAATCTGATAAGTTAAGGTTTGTGAGAGAATCGAGAACTTTAGTGTGTGACGAGTGGAAAATCACGATGTCGGAAGAAAATTTTACGGTCGCGCAGTTGAAGGCGACGCTTAAGCGGCTCAATCTGCCTACGACAGGCGACAAAGCAGCCTTGAAGAAGAGACTATTCGATTATGATTCCAGTGGAGCATGGAAAGACGTCGCTAAAAACGTATATGTTGAGGATCGCCAACAGGCGTCCCAGGAAGACGAGTCCGACTACGAGCTTCCGAGAGCAGAAGCGGGACAAGCGTATACGACGCACGAAAACCCGGGGCTTAGCTCTACGGAAAAGGAAATAGTGAGTAACCTCGCTAGAGATTTAGAGCGCATGAGACGCGAGAACGAGATTATGCAGCGGCGTTTAGAAGAATTAGGACGCGAAAGAGATCGAGCGACCGAAAGAGGACTGGCGTTCAACGCGGTATTCAGTACGCCATCTTTGACGCCGCGACCCATCATTTCCGCCCTTGGAGAATTGCTGAACGACTTTTCAGGAGCGAAAGACATATTTAAGAATTGGAAAAGGCAGCTTGAACTTATTCGTGTTACATACAATCTGGATGACAATAATACACGTATCCTGATTGGCATGAAATTGAAACGAAAAGCTTCACAATGGTTCCATGCGAAACCGGAACACTTAGAGATGCCAGTGCGTGAATTAATAAGTGAGATGGAAAAAATGTTCGATCATCGGCCGTCGAAAATGGAATTACGTCGGCGATTCGAGAAAAGAAGTTGGCGCCATGACGAGACTTTCACCGACTACTATTATGATAAGGTGATACTGGCTGGAAAAGTACCGGTAGATGAACAAGAAATAGTAGACTTCATTATCGACGGGATTCCGGAAACGCACTTACGGAATCAGGCGCGTATGCATCGATTCGGCGAAAAGGCGGAACTGCTAGAAGCTTTTGAGCAGGTCACTCTGCGGCCGGAAAATAAGAATCGTCCGGGAAAAGGAAATATAGTCAGCAAGACGGAAAACAAACAGCTATCTAAACCGAAGGACACGGAGCAACGGCGGGAAAGCAAGTGTTACAACTGTAACAAGACAGGACATCTCGCGAAGAATTGTGACAAGCCTAAGAGGAAAAAAGGTTCGTGCTTCGAATGTGGATCCATGGAACATCGAGCTCAAAATTGTGATAAGAAGAAGACGACATCACTGGATGCGAGCCTTAAGGAAGCGGACAACTAGATTTCGAGCGTGGTAACACAGAGCGATGGCGGTAACGAGTATATTAAAACTGTGGAAATTCAGATAAGTACAGACGGGCTAGAAACTAAATTTATCGCGAATTCACAATTAGATACCGCATGTCCGATTAGTCTTATCAAAGCTAAGTTTATTCCGCCAAGTTCAATCTTACGATTTAACGACGCGCAGTACGAGGGAATTAATGGTTCCGCGTTGGAAATACGGGGCGCGATTACGGCAAAAGTAAGGTTAGAAAATATTACGACGAATAGTACGGTAATCCGTGTTGTGCCAGATCATACGATGAAGTGTGACGTGATATTAGGTAGAGATATATTAAAGGAATTAAACTTTTCGATAGCTAAACGTTTAGACGAGAGAGAGGAAAGCTCAGTTAACGAAATATTAAATATCGAAGTAAGCGAAGCAACGGAACTTGATACATTAAATGTAAATCCGAATCTATCTTATGCGATCAAAAATAAGTTGTTGGAGAAAATTCAAATAAATTACTTACAGGCCGAGAGACCGACAGAACCGAAAATAAAGGCGGAGTTGAAATTACATGTAAAAAAAAAAGCAACCGTTTCACTTTGCGCCTAGTAGGTTGTCAGTAGATGAGAGAGTTAAAGTTCGGGCGCTTCTTGATGATTTGATCGCACGAGGTATTATTCGTCCTAGCTCTTCCGAATACGCTTCGCGAACCGTTCTG